TTAGGGGGAAAAAATGGGATGAATAGTGGAAATTAAATCCAATCCCCCAAACAAACACACCCCAAAAAGAAAAGAATCTTGTTGCTCTCGATCATCTTAGGGGTGGTAACAATATTCGATACTGCTCCCTTCGTCCCAGATACCATGTCCACGTTGTCGTTTCTGTCCTTCCCACATACCATGTCACTTTCGTTTTTTGGAAAATGATTACACACTTTAATCTCATTTTAAATTTTATTTTTTTAATTTTAATTAAACTAATTAATTATCTTAATCTTAATTTATAATTATTTATATTATAGGATAATTATTTTCACTAATACATTCTTAATTATCTACTAATTACACCCCTCCTAAAATACCGTGTCTACAGTGTAGCAGATACCGTATCTGGAACGGATGGAGTATAATTTTTCGGACAATTCAAATTTTAAAATTTTACTTACTGAGAAAACTCTAAATAAGCCAAATAAGCAAATAAAAGAGACATCTTTTGGTCGTGGTCGTTGCAGGGCATGGTAGAGATTGTGGGCGTAGCTGTTAAGCTTTTTTGGCTATTTATTAATCTAATACTTGCGAAATCTAGCTGTATATTGTAAATTTTTATGATTAATGTTTGGTATGTGAGAGATAAATATTGTTGCAATTTGTATGGTATTTTTCAATGGTATATCCTTGTTGATTCGAGTTTATCATAATTTTTTTAAAAATTTTTACGAAAGTATTTAATTTTTATATATAAAGACAAAAATGTCAAAATATTCTTACACAGGTCAACTAATTAATAAGATACTACTACTATTTTTTAATTTACTATAGAATTCCAAATGACTTATTTAGATTTGGATAGGAAAAATATGATATTTTGTGAGAACTAATTTTTAATTTATAAGCTAAAGTTGGATTAAATGGCGAGATGCTCATCATTTGTCTCTTTTGATGATTTAATAGTTAAGATATAATTGAGAATTTCAGGGCAGCCATGACTCGTGAACTCGAGATGACGGATATAGGTCTTCTATCGTAGCTACTTCCTTAGGCTTGAGATTCACTAATCGACTAGAGAATTTTTGTTCATCAACAAAATTATGCTAGGACTATTTTTTAGCATTTCAAAATGACAAATTGCAAGCCGGTGAGCACACCTATGGAAGAAAGGTTGAGGTTGGCTCAAGATGGAAGCAACCTCGACTTTAATCCAACACACTTAAAACAGTTGGTGAGAAATTTATGTTATTTGACATCCACCCGACCATAATATTTTTTTTTATAGTATCAGAGTGATTAGTAGATTCATGAAATTTCCGAAGCAATCACACTTCCAAGTAGCAAAGAAGATTCTTCGCTACATCATGGACTGAAGAAATCTATCATGGTTATTCTCACAATGTTCAATTAATGAGTTTTTACTGATAATAATTGGGGAGACAAAGTTGATAATAGTAAAAACACTTTCAGATATATTTTATATTTGGTAAATGAATCATTATTTTGATTCTCAAAGAAGTAACAAATTATTACATTGGCTACAAGCAGAACCCGAGTACGCAATTATAACTCGTTGTGCTACTCAAGCTATTTGATTGCATCAAATACTAACCGAGCTTGAACACAAGTCAAACATCTAACCCTGATCAAGTGCAACACAAATGAGCAAATCGCATTGGCCAAGAACCAAGACTTCCATTGAACAAGTGTTCAAATTGATATACGACATCACTTTATTAGAATCTAGTGAAGTCTGGAAAGATTGTGCTCGATTTTTGTTGGTCTAAAGATCAATTGACCGACATTTTTCACAAAAATTGAAGATCAGCATATTTCTTAAATTGGAACATCAACTACGAATGAGTACCATGATCTCGGTTTAAGAGAGTGTTGAAATTAGAAAATTAATAAATTGTGTTGTTTAACTAAACTTACAGAGATTTGACATAATTACCGTAATTTGTAATCATTTGACGTAATCAGAATAATTTGCATGTACTTAGTATAATTAACATAAATTGCATTTTCTAAACATTATTATTTTGTAATATCTTGTCTCACAAATTGCATTTACTTGACATTTTTACCGACCTATGTAATTGGTTGGTAAAATATGTATGAGAACATTACAAATTAAAATTTCGTCTTATTCTATTTGATCAAATTATGTAACAAAATATTGTATGTAACTCCTTAAACACAAACTACAAACATGAAAATTGATCAAATACACTCATATTCAACCCATATTTTATTATAAAATTACTACATTCAACAATGATTTTATATGAAAATTTCCAAGTATATATATATACATATATCAATAAAAACAGTGATGGAGATAAATATATATATATTTTTTTTGGGTTTGTTTTTTATTTTGTATGTTGTTTTAAAAAAGTTTATTATTTAATTTTACGACTTTTTTTATTATAAAAATATGTTACTATTATTTTTATAAAAAAGATTTTCACCGTCTAATTTGTTCACTTTAGTTTAGGTACAAAATTTTAGATAATGTGTAATTAATAAATAATTAAAAAGTATATTAGTAAAAATAATTATGATTTAATAAAAATAATTATAGATTAAGATTAAAATGACTAAATAGTTTAATTAAAATAAAAAACATAAATTAAAAAATTTAAAATGTGATTAAAATATATAATTATATTTACAAAAAAAAAATTATGTAGGAAGGACATAAATAAAAAAAGAATGAACAAATTAAATGTAACAGAGAGTATCATATACAAATTACTATTTAAATAAATATAAAAATAAAACAAAAGTCAGCAAACCAAACATTGTTATAGAAAAATCACATATATTACATAATAAATACTCCATTCGTTCGAATACAATAGTCTTGTTTACTATTTTTGTCCGTTCCAAAACAATAGTCTCATTTTCATAAATAACCATATCACCGTAAAACTATCCCTATCTTTTTATTATTATTACACAATTGCCACTACTTTTTACACTAATATACTCACAAGGGCGAAAAAATTATTTAATATTATTTTTTTACCGACTATCAATATTTTTTAAATTTCATGCCCAACACAATAAGATTATAATTTTGGGACGGAGGGAGTACATTAATTTATATATATATATATATATATATATCAAAAGATGATCCAGCTAAAGTAGTGCATAAGCCAAAATTAGGGTTAATTTTGGTTGGTAAAGAAATGTAAAATATGTTTTATGTTATCCTTTATTTATCTCATCACAATTCACATGCAACTCAAAGTACACATCATTTGATTTAATGTTATGCATAAAAGTAGAAAAAGTTTCTATAAGTGGGACCAACATCATTTCTCACAACAATTTTAGGATTTTTCTAAATTATCATTATAATTATTACTATTATCATTATATCAAATACACACATATAAGTTTGTTATTTTAATATCATTTATTTTTTATATATATATTCTAGAATGTAATAATTATTAAATACTCTATTTGTTCTATAATTAGATATCAATTTATTTTTTGAACGTAATTTTAAAAATATTAGTATTATATTAGGATGTAATAAGAATAAAGTAAAAATAACTAAAATAACCTTATTAATATGTGTGATATAAAAGTAATGACATTCGTGTAATATATTATAAATTGTAAGGATATTTGTAATGTTAGATAGATAGTACAGTTACTAAAAAGAATAGATACTTCGTTATGAGACGATGAGAGTATATATATATTTTTTTCAATAAAATTGTCAAAAATGAGACGTGCTTTTTTTTTTTTTAAATTAGTTTTAAGTTTTTAGTTTGAATATTGGATATAATTCTTTTCTATTACTATCTATCTAAATTATATTTATATAGTCATTTTCATCTATTCAAATATAAAATATATTGGGTTTATTTGTTTTGTAAATTTTTATTAATATATATTTTTTAAAATTAATATACTATAAAAATTAATTATTTTTATATTATTTATATAATTTTTTATTATCTACCATATTTGTATATTAGAAATATTCTTAAATTTATATTTATTTATTTTAATATAATTACAATAAATTAAAATATAAGATAAACAAAATTTACATATAAAAAGTATTATTTAAGTATAATATTTTTAAAACATAGTGTTAAAAGTAAATATAGATTCTAACAATCCCATTTGAATGTATTTTTTATTTTTATACGTGAATTTAGAAGAGTATAATTAATAAATAATTAATAGTAATATATCAGTAATATTATAATATAATACAATATTTATAAATTATAATTAAAATATAAGAAATATAAATTATAAAATGAAAATGTTATAAAATATATAATTCTTTTAATAATAAAAAAGCAATAGATCTAGGACAAATATAGATATAAATCATGACATTATATTTGAAAAGAAGGGAGTATTATATTATAAATTACTTAAAAATAAATAAAAAGATAGGGAGGAAATATATCTTTTGAATGACCGTAAAAATTATACTTCGTCATATAAATTTATACCTATTTGACCGGGTATAAATTATAATAAAAAATGACAAAAATAATTTTTTATAATAAAAAAAGTAAAAAAAGTGTTATTTTTTTTAATTAGAAAAAAAAATTAGATAAAAAAAAAGAAGAATAGATTTAAATGATAGATAAAATAATGATTATAAGTTATAAAGAAAATGGTATATAATCACACTATATTAAAAATAGAGGAGAAAAGGAAAAATACGGAAGAAAAGGAGGGCAGTTTGGGAATATAAACTCGGAGGAAATATTAATAGCAAATGAGTTCTGTGCAGAACGAAGGGGTATTTTGGTCATTTCACGCAAGGCCTTTGTAATGGCGAGCTGACGTGGAGGAACCTAACTGGTTGGTACAAATAAATACAATAAATACGGAACAGCACAGCGCACAGCTAACAATTCTCCGTTTAAGAGGAAAAAATTGTACGTACAAACTAACGGATACATACGTCTCACCTATAGATATAGAGAGAGAGAGAGAAAGCCGAAGAGAGAGAGAGAGAGAGAGAGAGAGAGAGAGAGGCGAGGGGGGGGAGGGGTGGGAAGGAGGAGTGCAGTAATGGAATGAATGATGGAAGCGGTGGCGATGCTGAGGCAATTGATTGGACAATTACAGGTGGTTTTGGAGCACTACGGTTCGCCTCCTCCGTCTGCGGTTCCGTCGAATTACTTCATTCAGTTTGAAGCTCAACCGCAGCAGCAGCAGCAGCAGCAAACCCTCGGGTTCCTAACTCTACTCTTTTTTTTATTGTTGTTATTGTTTGATTTATTGGTTGTGTTTTGTTTTTTTTTTTTTTTTATTTGGTTTTGGTTGGGGGCGTCGTTGTGCGTGAATCGGTGCTGTGATTTTTGGATTTTGTGTGTTTGGAATCGATTTCGAGGCGTGGATGTTTGTTTCTTATGGTTAATTTCTGTTTTTGATTCGGTTAGTGGTTGGTTAGTTAATCGCGATTTGCATCTGTTGTGTGTTTTTGTTCTAAGCGAAACGGTTTTCTAGGGTTGTGAGTGCCATTTGTCGATTCTTTATACCTATTTGTTGATTCTATTGGTGTCGGCGGAGAAACTTTCAATTATTAGGGGAGAAATTTTGTGAATTTTATGTGCTTAGGTCAATTTCCTATGGCAGCATTTGAATTATTGGCCCGCGGTGGTAATTGATTTTCGATTTTTGTTCTTTCTAAACCGATGGAACGAAGATTTCGAGGTTACTGTCTTTTTCTTACTTTCAATTGTAGAAGCTTGTTAGGATGATCGTTCCTATTTTCTGCCCATTCGTTAAAGCCAAAGGTTGGTTTTAGATGGTGCAATTTGGCAATGATTTGTGTCCGATCACTTTTTTCTTTTTGATGTAGAAGCTTGTTTCAGAAGCATGTTGATTTGATTCCATTTGTTGGATTGATTGATTGTATTCCTTGTTTCACTTAATTAATCTTGCACCATCATCATCAAAGCTGATTCAGTCTATCCTTTATGGAATTCTGTATGAGCTTTGCTAAGATTTTTGGTAATTTTCTATTTACTGGACTGATATTTGGTTTGAGAGCTCTTTTTCCTCTTCCATTTTGTGGTTTTGATTAGATAATCTCACCTTTGAAGCCTTTAAATTTTACTTGGTTAAAAGACGCAGCAATTCATCTTTATATTTTGCATATTGTTACCCATCTAATTGTTGTAAAGGTTTGTGCCAAAGATCTGCTTGATTTAGTCTTCTGAAAATGGATTTCACTGTTTGTCGATTGATTTCCGGAGAGGATGTTTCTGGAAGAACTCAGTAGTTGGAGACTAAATGGAGGTTTCTAAATAATGATATGATCTAGAGACCCGGAAATTTGTGGAAGAATGTCTACCGATTGTTGATGTTTGGAGCATATTTTGCATTTTTGTTTTACATTTATGTTTTTGTTGGTAAACCAATATCTGAGCAAGGTATAATAAGATTAGTTTTAATGGACCTCTACTTATCTAGTAGAGTCTTACCCTTTCTATAGAGTCCGTTGATTTTATCAGCTTGGAAGATATTAAATATGGTTAATTGATGTATCTTGCATTACATGAGCATATTTATATACGCATTCGTTGTGCCGTGTAAATCGGCATTTGATTAAGTCACAAAAGTTTTCTCGACTATATCATACTGCCATAAGAGTTGTATTACGGCATTAGTTACACTGTTTGATATTTTCTTGTGAGAAATCTTGCATTATAAGTACCGTATTTTCGATGTCCTTTGTAAATGTTTCTATTGCTCCTATATCTCAACTGCTCAGTTATTTTGCCTAACCAAATGTCGAAGATGTTTCGATTTTCTAATAAACACGTATGCTGATATATTCATCGGGTCATTAGATCTCGGGTAAATCATCTTCTATTGACTGTAGTGTCTGAAATCGAATTTGAACTTTCACTTTGTCAACTGATGTTCCGAGCGTATGCATTTTGCTAATTTACCTCGTCGAATTATTTCTTGCAATTTTCTCGATTTCAAGCACCTGAAGATACTTTCAGCTGTTTTGCAGATGTTGTTTCCCAAATCTTGAAAGCAGCTCTTTACAGGACAGTTGCTACAACATCATAATGACCGCCGGCAAATCCGAAAACCTGAAAATGCTTGAGCCCGGAAAACCTCCCCCGGCAAAGAAGGCGCGCAAGGATCGCAGTCGAGGAAAATCAGCAGCATCGAGCGGAAACATGGAACCGCATATCTGGAAAGAATTCCCGGAGGACCTCTTCGAAGCCGTGATAGCGAGACTCCCGATCGCGACGTTCTTCCGCTTCCGATCGGTCTGCCGTAAGTGGAACTTGTTGCTGACCTCGCAAAGCTTCTCCCAGCAGTGTGCGCAAGTGAAGCAAGCCCAGCCGTGGTTCTACGCGATCACGCACGAGAACGTCAATACGGGAGCGATGTACGACCCGTCGCTCAAGAAATGGCACCACCCGGCCTGCCCGGCCCTGCCCACAAAGCTGATCGTGCTGCCCGTCGCATCGGCGGGCGGCCTTGTCTGCTTCCTCGACATCGGGCACCGCAACTTCTACGTCTGCAACCCGCTGACGAGGTCGTTCAAGGAGCTCCCGGCGAGGTCTGTGAAGGTCTGGTCGCGCGTCGCCGTTGGGATGACGCTCGACCGGAAATCGGGCTACAAGGTCGTCTGGGTGGGGTCCGAGGGGGAGTACGAGGTGTACGACTCGACGAGGGATTCGTGGGCACGGCCCGGGCCGATCCCGCCAAGCGTGAAGCTCCCGCTGGCGCTCAACTTCCGGTCACAGGCGGTGTCGGCGGACGGGACGGTGTACTTCATGCGGTCGGAACCGGAGGGGGTGGTGACGTACGACACGGAGCGGGGGGTGTGGGGGCAGTGGGCGATCCCGTGGCCGGGGGGGCGGGGGAGGGACTACGCGCTGGCGGAGGCGGGGGGGCGGGTGATGCTGGCGGGGCTGGTGACGAGGAATGCGGCGACGTGCGTGTGCGTGTGGGAGCTGCAGCGGATGACGGTGCTGTGGAAGGAGGTCGACAGAATGCCAAACGTGTGGTGCTTGGAGTTTTACGGGAAGCACGTGCGGATGACGTGCCTCGGGAACAAGGGGGTGCTGATGCTGTCGCTGCGGGCGCGGCAGATGAACCGGCTGGTGACGTACGACATGCGGACGCGGGAGTGGGCGAAGGTGCCCGGCTGCGTGGTGCCGCGGGGGAGGAAGAGGCAGTGGATCGCCTGCGGGACGGCGTTCGACCCGTGCTTGACGGCCCGGGCGTGACGGGGCTCGATCGATCGATTAGGTATGGACTACTGTTTTATCTATCTACTATGTTCTTTTTCTGTTATGTGTTTTGTGTTTTTTTTTCTACGGGATTGTTATTGTTTTGTGTATGTGTTTGGGATGGGATGGGATGGGATGGGATGCGATTTGAAATCTATGACTTCGACATATATGATATGATATGAAATGAAATAATAGGATCCATCCTTTCCAGTAGTGTTATTCTATGTGCATTTTGTGAATGATGATATGGGCGGTTAGATTAACCCTAGTTAGCTATATATGGACCAAGTATAAATAGCATATGATAGTATATATACTGATAAGTTGGGTGCATTGGCCTATAAAAGGTACCAAATTGATGTCACTTAGTCTTGCCCTTGTTGTTACACGATAAAATTTACCCAATGCTTATTTGAAGGATTTTATATGATTTTTACTATTCATTCAATTTTATTTTTTTTGCAAAAATATCAAATTAAATATTTATTTATTTATTTTTTATATATTATACTAAAAATTAATTTTATATATAAAATATCATATTAATCTCTAAAAGCTACAACAAAATTGCTTTGGGTATTTGCGGATTGCGGATTTGTTGTTGATTTGTTCAACTTTGACGAGAAATGGCAGCAGTAATGTCGGGGTGTGGGCTGTTTCTGAAATAAATGATAACACATACTCCCAATTTTTGTAGTAAATTAAAGTATCTTATTAGTTAATAAAAAAATATGAAAAATAATTTTGACACCTTTGATATTTGGTTCTTAAATGGTATATAAAAATAACTGTACCTGCAATTACTTTTAGTGTAAAAAAATACAAATATCCTTTTAATGAAACATAAGGAAATATAATTTAAAAAATATTTTCAGTTAAAAAAGAAAAAATATGCATTATTACTGTTTTTGCCACTTAATAAATAATTTAAAAAATTAATATATTATCTTACTTCATACATTCAATTATGTGACTTGATATATTCAATATTTAAGCTTTTCATATTATATTATATACGGTAGAAAAAAAAATAAAAAATCCATGCATATATATATATATTTATACAAAACACAACCATCCGGATTCAATTCAAGAGGGGGTCGAGCGCAGGGCGGGTTCTAAGGCTCGGTCACAACCCGACCCGGCCGGCCCGTTACCATATTAGAACGTTCAAAAGAATAAAATGAAGGGAAAATGATAATAGTAATATATTGCTACACCTTAACTATCAAATCAAGGTGTATGTGTGTGTGTGTGTCACCTCCTCATTGCATTCCAATTTCATACACTTCAAGCCATTCCTCCACTTGTTGCTGTCCTGATTATCTGGAAGAGAGCTGCAACAAACACAAATCAATCAAAAATTCCAGAAAAAAAAAAACACTGTTGTAGAACGAAGTAGTGAATTTCAAGATACAGAACATGTTTGGTCATGATTTCTCGATAAATATGAAGGATTGCAAATCAATGTACATGTGAAGGAGATTCTTAGCTTTACTATAGATATTGGGAAGGATTAGAAAATGCGACGTGAAATCCAGTTAAGTTTGATGTTCAATTGCAATTACTTGATCGTTAAGGTTTGGGGAAGACTTACATGATCCAATGACGACGAAAATGAAAAATCCAAGCAGGATTGGACCTACAGAGAGATTGCTTCCCTTCTTTGTGCTAGTCTCTGCAACAGCTCCGCGCTTGGTTATGTTCTTCTCAAACTTCTGCACCTTCCTGTCTGCAAGCCTCCTGGAAGTAGTCTGCATAGAAGATAGCAATCAACAAACGCACCATCAGCAAAAAATTTCAATCCAGAATTGATCACTTTACAAGGCAGATGAACTATGGTTCGAACGATATTGTTTATTTGGTTTACATAGTTTTCAATTGAAGTATGATCGTTCGTAATCGTATCGTAAAGAATACAGACAGGAATCACAGGATATGACTTATGAGGATAATCTTTCGATTCAGTGGTATCTTCCGATACAATTACATCAATAAAATATTTTATACGAACGCAATACGCTATGATTTCAATTGACAGGATCTGTAAACCGATAAACCTCTGATCACGAGAGCATTTGCCAAAATTTGACCGACCACGCATACGCATACGATTCACGGTGCCAAATATTATGATTTAGCTTAATCTCATAAACCGATTGACATATTATGCCGCACATAAAACAACCGATTTCCCAATCTATGCATCCTCGAACACAATATCAACGTCGAAGCTTCATGGAAAAAAGTTGCGCAATAAGAAGGAGCAAATTACCACAAAACATGCAAAAACAATAGAAAAACGGAGCAAAACAGACAGCGGATCCCAACGACAAATTGAAGTAACGAAAAAACCGCAAACAGATCAACAACGCACGAACTTACCATTATTACGGCGAGATCGATTATCCGACAAAGCTTCTGACAAAATCGCCGGAAAAACCTCAGGCGGCCGGTTTAGTGACACCGATCACCTTTTATTTCTCTAAACCGAGAAATTCCTCCTTCAATTGGTATCACGAAAGATTGCAGCAATTCACGGCTATTTATACGGAGACGTCTACGTCACCTCCTCAATTCTGATTGGGTAAAACACGTTGATTATACACGTGGCATATTTTTATTGGTTGGTAAAAACGTTGTGGATAGTGGGCAACGCTGTATTAAGCGCGTTTGACTCCGTAAACATTTGTTTGAGGTATTATTGTTTATTTAATTTTTAATAAAAAATAATTAAAGATAGAATATTACTCTCCACCATTTCAATACAATATTGTTTATTATTTTTGTTCGTTTTAAAACAATAGTCTCATTTTTATAAATATTACCGTAAAATTATTCCTATTTTTTATTATTATTTCACAATTGTCACTACTTTTTACACTAATATACTCACATGGGCAAAAAGATCATTTATCCTTACTTTTTACCAATTACCGATATAATATCCATATTTTTTAAATCTCATGTTCAATAACAGTCACATTGTACTTTTGGGACAACCGAAGTATTTTGGTTGAAAGGTTCATCAATATTTTTCAATACCAAATCCATTGCATTAAAGAATACAATTTTGTTTGATTTGACCTATGTTTTTTCAGAGTCTAATTTTAAATTTTTATAAAAAAATATATATTGATGAAATATTTGTTTGATTGTCGTTTATATTTGATTTGAAATAAAATATGGATTTAAATTTTATTTAAATAATATTTTAATGTAATATTTTGTAAAATAAATTAGTATTTTTTTATAAAAACGGGCTGAACAGAGTTGATTTTGGTTCAAAGTTGTAAAAGAACAAACCAATATATTAAAAACAATTACTTAAAAATAAAAAGCCACATCCTTATAAATTGAGGTTGAATTGTTTTGTAGTTTTAATTTGAAATATGTTAAGTATTAAATACGAAAAAATAAATAAATAAATAACATTTCAACCCAATAAAATAGCATAATTATTATTTATGAATATTAAATTTTACAAAGAAAATTGTATAATTATGATAGATAGAGAGAATCTGTATAAATATATAGGCACATTAGGCATGACATGTGATACGAAGAGTTAGAGGTTTGAACTTATGACTTCATTATTACAAGTCCAACTCTTACATCACCATGTCATCTCTTACCGGACTAAAGACTAGTATGTATTAATAATACAAGAGGTAATTTTAAAAGTATTTAATTTGTATTAAATTTGTCATTTAATAAATCTGTAACTTTTCATTCTCCACGCTATTTTTCACTTTTTTGGTCGTTTCTTAAATTCATACACAATAGAATATCAATTTTCATTATTTTATTATTATTATTAAAATTTTCTTATAATTTTTCATTTTATTTTTTACCTACTTAATTTTAACATTAACATAAATTACTTCATCCGTCAAATTTAAAATTATACATTTATTTTTTATGGAGAATTTAACAAATAATAATATTTTAATAATAGAAATTACTTAAAACTAGTGTAAAGATAATTTTATTTTTATTTTTTTAATGTAAAAATAATAATTTGATGATAAAGTAAAAATATAAATAAAGAAAATGAGATATTTTTAAAGAATCACTTTGTAATTAAACAAACTAAAATAAAAAGTATATATATATACTTTACAAAAGGACAAAGAAAATGTTAGTATTTTTTAATATTCGTATTCAACCAAATCTATATAATTTACCAAAAGAAAAGAACATTAGAGAATATAGAAAAAATAAAATAAAATCCAAAGGGAATATATTGTCAATAGATGAATTATAATTAATGATATATATAAGTATAATGATTTGACTTACAAATTGGTCGATATGTCCGAGTGGTTAAGGAGACAGACTTGAAATCTGTTGGGCTTCGCCCGCGCAGGTTCGAACCCTGCTGTCGACGATTTTTGGCAATTTTCTTGTGATTTTTATTTTTTTGAAAAAACGGAAAGCTGCAAGTAAGGAAAGTCGCTAAGGAAAACGAAAATCGCGTTGGCAATTTAATAGCGACTTTAAGTGATTTAACAAATTTACCCTCAGGCCTTATATTCGGAAACCCTTCCCCAAACCCTACCGCCGCCCAAGCATTCTTTTTTCCTCGAAGCGAAAAGTCCTCCGCCGGAAGGGCAAACGAGTTGTAGGTGACGAAATTCGACGGTGGTAGCGGCGGAGGTGGCGATGGATCCCGACGCAGTTTCCAAGGCGTTTGTAGAGCATTACTACTCGACCTTCGACACCAATCGGGCAGGGCTAGCCGGCCTGTATCAGGAAAATTCGATGCTGACCTTCGAGGGAGAGAAATTCCTTGGAGTCCAAAATATTGCTGGTAAACTGACCAGTTTGCCTTTCCAGCAATGCAAGCATACGATCACAACCGTCGATTGCCAGCCATCGGGCCCAGCCGGTGGAATGCTTGTTTTCGTATCGGGGAATCTTCAGCTCGCCGGCGAACAGCACTCTCTCAAGTTTAGCCAGGCGAGTGTTTATCTATTCTCTTACGATGCTGTTGATTTTTTTTATTTATTTATTTTTTATTTATTTATTTTGTTTTTACGATTTGATTTCTCGATGCCAATTTATTGTTCGATCTAGGAATAAATCAATTAGTTATGCTGCGGAGTTGATTCTGAGTCATTTGGTTTTACCCTAATTGTCATTCTAATGATTTGCATAGTTGCGATGGGAATCGGATAATCAATTGGCTTGGTTTCAAATGTGTTGTGCAAATATCAGATTGATGCTCTTGTTCTTCGTGGTTATTCGAGTCTTATGTGAATTCGATCTTATTTTCTGGCGATGGTTCGGTAACCACTTAGACACAGCACATGAATTTCCAAGTTGGACTCAAAAATCAAATATTTTGCGTACTAGGAATGTTGATGGATTAGCCTTTTAATCAAAACACAAACGTTTGGGACTGAACATTATGTGCTACCTTTGCCACAGTTTCATGATATTCTAAAATTCTAATATATTCGAATACAAGGCAATTCTAATAGAACATGATCCTTTCAGTGCTGAATATTATCTGTTACCTTTATCATAGTTTCTTGAGATTCTAATTTTTTAATGTATTCAAAGATGAGGCAAGTTTAATCGAACATGACCTTTCAGTATTGAACATTATATGTTACCTTCATAGTGTCATTTCATGAGATTCTAAATTTCTAATTTATTTGAAGATAAGGAAATTTTAATAGAACATGACCTTTCAGTACAGAATGCTATCTGTTACCTTTGCCATTGTTTCATGACATTCTAAATTTCTACTGTATTTGAAGATGAGGTAATTTTAATCGAACACGACCTTTCGGTACTGAACATTATGTGTTGCCTTGCCATAGTTTCATGAGATTTTAAACTTCTAATGTATTGGAAGATATTGCAATTGTAAAACAACACATCCTTTTGGTACTGAACATTAGGTGTTACGTTCGCCATATTTCAATGAGATTATAAATTTCTATTGTATTCAAAGCTACGGCAATTTGTGATCATGTCTTGAGTTATCTTTTTTATCTTTTAGCTCAGGCATTTTATGGTCACATTTGTTGTAATGATCATATAGTTTTTGTTAAGGATGCAACTATCATCATTTCTCGGCTACATAATTTTATTTTTATACGCTAAATGGTTTTCTTGTTCATTATAATGGTTTGTTGGAAATATTACTTGCATAGTTAATGCTTATGCTTGTTTGTATTAAACAATTCAAATTGTTTAGTATAAGATCAGATGGGGTTTATTCTTCCGCTTGGTTCCCAATCGAAGGCTAATAGTTCAAATGTTCAATATAACTATCAAATCTTGATCGAGCTTTTCTGCTAGCTCTAATTGATTATCGATGCTATTTGGGGTAATATACAAGAGCGGTTAAATCCATTCCTATCATACTTTGATGATGAATATAAATCAACTCGTTTTTTGTTTTTTTCCCGCAACATATAGGAAGAAAAAATTGTTCCTAGTATCTGCATGGTATGCTGTGGTTAAAGAACAGACTCTTTTTACATAGATGCTTTTGAAACTTTTTGTTCTATTTATCAACAATATATATATATATTTTTTTTCAAAAATAAAAATAATGTCAAATATCACATTAAATTCCAAACATGTTACTATTCCTAAAATTTTTAGAAACTCCGAAACTTATAAAATTCCTATAGGTTTCAATCATTGCATGTATTTAAAACCTATGCTTCTCTTGGCTGACATGCGAGTGAGATGTTTTATGTTTGATATGTTACCGATTGAATGGTTCCGTCGCATTGTTTTTCAGATGTTCCATTTGATGCCGACTCCCCAGGGCAGTTTTTTTGTGCTGAATGACATCTTCCGGCTCAATTATGCGTAAGAAACAAGACAGCAGCAGGGCCTACTCTTGCCGAGATTGATAATTGTCCGAGACAAGATTATCTTGTTTTTAACTTTTTTTCATTTTTTGGGTTTCTGTTTAAGACTTATTGGCACCAATGTGGCCTTTGCCTTTGGGGGGTTTCTGAGTCGAGTCTTATTGTGCATTTCTAACTGTTATGTTTTCTTTCATCTCTCATTTGAAATAACTACTGAAACTCGTTTGCAAAATGGTATTTTGGCTTGTCTGATCTTTTAGACCATGTGTTTCTTGGGGTGTGTTTGGATTATATATATATGATGATGTCTACAGAGTTTGTTTAGATAAATGTTTTTGATAGTTATTGATAGTTTTAGGTTTCAGAGTTTTGAAATTTTTTGAAGAGTGAAGTTGAATGCTTGATAAGTGTTTTGTCAGTTGTGATAAAAATTGATATATAATGTGATATTGATTTAAAAATTAGGCAAATAGCAAGATTTCTTGTAATTTACAAATTTGTTGAAAAGATTGTAGTAACTAAAATGGAATTTTAAAAATTAAGAGGGATTTTTAGCGAATTTTACCAGCTACGATCTTTTGCCAAAAAAATTATTGGGGATAAATAATACAAAACCTTTAAAAAATATACATAAACGTGGCTCTAGTTTTGTGTTTTGAATTTTATATCATGTAAATTTATTTATTTATTTATTTATTTGTGTAAAAAGAGTGTATATATACTATATGATGTATATAATTATATACCGATAATTATTTTTTCTCTCAAATCTCAATATATTACTTTAGTTGAGCCTTTTATGCGACTTCTGTCAAAAAGGAGAACGTATATTTCAGGAGAATTTTGATCTGAAATCAAAAATAAAGAAACCCTTGGTTTTGGTTTAAAAATATTTGTATGTGGGAATAATTTTTCAATACAATTATATTTCGAGATATACAAACTTCGCCCCAATATTTTGTCCCTTTTTAGTGATATTTTTAAACTAATGCAAAATTTATTTGTTTTGCTCGACCCGAATACCTTTTTTTTTTTTTATAATGTGAAAATTCACAGTTGCTATCCGAAAATACGCACTTGATAACTACGTCGAATCTAATACCCTACAAATTAGATCCGACAAGACAAATTGCACTATGCAAACATGAACATGTGTGCATCTGTTGGCATGGGAGTTGACGCGGGAGTTTAAATCCATGACCAAAATACTTGTTTGGATATAATTTGACCTGTTTTCTTTTAATTTTTTTATCTTTTCTTTTAAATACATTACATAGAATTTTATCGTTTTCATGTCAAAAAAATCAAAACAGCAAACACACATAAGACATGTGCATATATTTCTAATCAATCAACAATACCACCATTTTTAGTTAGAGCTCAGAATTTCCTCTAAATCCACCCTCCCTAACCACTAGCATCACAAACATTAAATATACACAAACACATATATAACCAACATGTACTTCAACTTAATTAACCCTATAATGCTGAAAATGAAATGAAACCCAAAATAATACAAAGCCATTAGTTTGTACCTGTCGATCTTCAGTCAATAAGGGATATGGTAAGACGACGAAGAATTCGACATCGTCGGAGTATCCGACTCCGAGTATTTCAGCTCAGCCTGCCGGATTAAGGGAGCCAAAAATAAACCGAGCATTAAGTATGGATTCAACAGAGTACAGAAATGCTTTGGATGTGTTTATCTTGCATTAGTCGAGAGTGAGAAGATTTTAATTACCTTAGCTTGACGATATTTTTCAAGAAGACGTTGGTATTGCTGGCGGGCCTTGGGGGATTCGACCATAGACAACACTCTCGATACTGCCTCGTCGATAGCAACATCCACATTTGTCTTACGAAACACCTTGAGAATGTCTTCGTCTTCAATTTCATCAACTGATTCCGACTCCTGTCTAAATCCACGCAGGCCTACCCCTCGCCGGCGCCACCTCAGCACGACCTTCTCCAGTATACCGACTGCCCAGCAAACTTTATAGTTCTTCCTAACTTGATAGCCTCTCACGTGAGCCTGCCATGACAAGAATCGAATGATAAGGAACAATTTTGCATTTTCTACAAAAAAAAATAAAAATAAAAATAAAAATAGAATGGTAAATTGCATAATATCCACCTGTGTATATTATAAACGCAAAAATTATGGGTATTTATTTATTGCGTAAGAATTTTTTATATTATACTTTGCTCCGTCCTAAAACAATAAGAATATTTGGAATGAAAACAAAAATTAAGAAATATTAGTACTATATTGATATTGGATGTAAAAATATTTTTAAACCCTTATTTTATATAATTATTGTGAAAAAATGAGGATAATTTTGTAAAAAAATGAAGAACTAATTATAAAAAATGAAAACGAAACTATTATTTTGGGACGGAGTATTAAAATATGCAGAAAATATCTTTTTCATCCAAAATTAACGTTGATTATAAATACAAAAGTGTTGTGCAAATAAAGAGAATGAAATGTTTTAAATATTTTATTTTAATAAAATAAATAATTGATTAATCATTTATTTTACCGTTTATAAAAAATGAAGCTACTATTAATTTTCATTTATTTATTTTATTCAAAGAAGAATCTTTAGGACACTTCATCCCTTTATTTGTATAACACTTATAATCAAGCAAGCATTTATAATGACCATCACTTTTGGACGAAGAGGGAGTATTTTTTCATATTTTAATATAACACAAGAAAATTTCATACAATATCTATGTATATTATGCATTATGCAATCTTACCCCAAATAAAAAATAAAATTCGCAATCATTTTTTTATCTTGAATAATCACGCTAGCTAGGTAAACTACGCTAGACAAGCTTTGTATAACAAGATCGACTGCGAAAGCACAGGTGACTTTGCAGCCGATCTTGCTATATCTCTATCTTTCCAAGCTAATTGAAGTTGAGAATAAGTGAAGTACCTGAATCTTAACAACTTTCTGGCGTAACGAAAGGAAATCCTTCCGACCTTTCCAGCCTCTGTACTTCTTCTGAATGGACAAAGCCGCTACATTAGCTACATTGTGTTCACGTGGAGTCCGGAATGGTGGTTTCGGCGCAGTCGAAAAACCAAGAATGTCGCTTTCCAATATACCATAATTATCTCCACTAGCACCGCCAATAGTCGCTGCAGCTTCCTTCTGTTGCCTCTTCAGGAAAGAGTGAGCCCGGAATGCAGATTGTATACGAGCAGCAGCTTGAGTAGCGTTCCGAACTGCATTCAGAGTGTGCTTAAGAGAAACATGATCCGCGTCAATGGAGGAGCTAGCATGTGATAAACTATTCACAGTTCTTTCTGCTTCCACGGCAGCAGATCCTTTCGATAACTCGGTTTCCGCCATTGTTAGGGATGAGAGGTGACTTGTAAGCGCAACTTCTGAAAGATAACCGGCAAGTCCTTTGTGGCCGCTGATGGAAGCTATTGATGCCGGAGTTTTACCGGTTAGGTCCTGTGAGTTTGGGTCTGTAAGAGCTCCGGCAGATGCGCCAGATGCAATTAGAGCTGCGACCATCTTTTCCCTATCATACATAGAACTTAATTATTACTCGGATAAGCAATTAGTAAGTGAAGTAAACTTTAGCCGTAGAATTTTTAAAATTTAAGGAGCTTCAATACCAATAATTTTGCCTAAGGAGTAGTCTATGATGCAACTACTCTAGCATGCCGATCATTTTATAATTTAGGGTAAACTGTATTTTACTCCCGTATCTGACCATTTTATTATTTTAGAACTTTAAGTGGACCCTATCTGAAAATAATTATGTAAGTAAAATTTTTCGTTAAAATAGTCATGCGATGCCGGATTCGCTACGCTAGCCAACCGTTGCTGACGTGCCGGACTCACATTGGAGAACCATTTTAGTGAAAAAATTTACTTGCACAATTATTTTCGGACAGGATTTACATGTAAAAAAATGATAAAAGAGGTCATATACTAGACTAAAAAAATAGTTTACCAAAATATTTTGTAAAAGAAAAAAAATTCACATGTCGTTGACGTGGCATCTATATGTCAATGACATGTCAGCCGCGTCAGCGCCATGTTAGCAACGGCAGGCCAGCATGGAGAGTCCGGCACCGAAGGACTATTTTAGCCGAAAAAATTTACTTACAAGACTATTTTCATGGTCACTTAAAATCCTAAAATGATAAAAGGATCAGATACGGAACTAAAAAAAGTTCACCCTATAATTTATTTAATATTTTTATTTTTGTGTGATTAATATGCCAATATCCTGGCCAACAAAAGTGACAGATGACAATGCTTGAAACATATATGCATGCAGATAGAGAGAACAAAACAAAGGCAGAAGAAAAATATCGAAACACATTTTTACCTCCCGAATCGAGCAGCCCAATGAAGTGCAGTCCATCCACGAAAGTCGCGGAAGTTGACATTAACTCCAGAATTCAGAATTGGTTGCAATGCCCATTCAAATCCCAGTCCGGCAATCATGTGTATGACTCCTTGTTCTTTCTTTGACAAAGAGCAGTGACTTAACTTGTTCTTTTGGAACTTCGATGAAAGCCATGCTCCCAGCTTGTCCTTTAGAAGTTCTTGTACAAGCAAATTGATAGTGGTCGAAGGGGCTGAAGTGCCATCCAAAAGTGCATCAACGATTTGGTTCAGCGAGTCGTCGGCTGATCTTAACCCATAGTTATCTACTTCGGTTGGTGAATCAGACAATAGCATTTGCACAAGTCTAGCAAGCAACAAGAGCTCTTCTGAACTTGTTTCAGGTGGAATATTGTGTGAGCAAACACTAGGCTTAGGACGATATTCGAACTCCCTGACCTCACTGCAGGATTCTCTATTGCCAGAAGTGATGCAAAGTGTGACCTTTCCTGGCAAGAGAGGGGGAGCATTGCAACAAAGGACACCTTCTTGAATGATCTGAATAGGAACTTCAATGCCACCAAACATACATGCCCAAGTACTCGCAGATGCATCACAGAGAAAAGATCCGATAATAACAATCTGAGATATGTTTTAAACATCAGTCACTACCTAACTCGTAAGACAGACCAGAAACTACAAAACAGATTCAATGAAAGAATATATGATGTGTGAACTCTTATTACACAAACTTGAAAAATTAACAAACTTAATATGTTAATGATGCATCTTAGGTAGAAATCTTTTAAGTTACATACTGATATTGTGTCTTGCGCTCTTAAGTTACATACTAATTAGATTTGGAACATTTTCATGTGTATATATCATGTGTATTAAAGAATTTTATAGTTGAGGCAAAATTTTTTGGAGGTTTCAGAATAGTGTAAAAGCAAGAAACAGTCTTTGTATTTTCCACATTGATTCTCTCTCCGGCTCTCATAACATTCTTTATTCACTTGTCTCGGGTGACAATTGTTCATAAATCAATCATAAACAAGAAGGCATATTTTCATTAATCAAACATGCACCCAAACTCAGGACCTTATAGCAAATTAATTAGTGTACTAACAAGAAAATTCCTAAGCAGGAAAGAAAATGAAAGATTCTACCAGACAAAACCTGTCAAGCACAAGAGAAAATCGAAACGGCCATTGGGATAATAGAGGTGCAAATCTCATTACTGTAATAAGACATTCCTACCAACAAATCAGTTGTTATAACTGTGATGTCAAAAGTCAGATTGGCCAGAGGAGTTAACATAAATCCTTTCACTTATTAACAGTGCAATAGATACTAAGGGATTATTATTTTAATATTTGTAGCAATATCTCTGTTTTTCACAGTCTACCATTCTTGAACCATAGTGAGCAGAATAATTAATTAGGTAAAGTTGTTATTAGAGAATCCAAATCATGATCCGCATCACAAATATATATAAGCATGTGTGTAAGATAGCTTTTCGTACAGAAAATGTCCAGTGGGAGTTGTAAGAAACTTTTGCTGTTACTTCAGCCATGGCAGATGTAAGGTTAATCTACATGATAGTACTTACAAGCACATAATGTGACGGTCTACTCCTGATGCTGGGGAAGAGTATTTTGGTCACTATTGTTTCTACCCAACTCATTTTTACCTTTTTTTTTTAAAAAAAAGATAGTAAACTAATTCCTATCTATAGAACTAAATGATAATTTCTTAACAAGGATTTCTAGATTGGACACAAGCATTGCTGAAGTAAACTTGTGTGCATGATATGACAGAAAAATATTATTTTAGTCCCAGATAGGATGAATTTATTGCATCACTCTAATGATTGAGTTCTAACGAAATTTACCTTTGCACCTTCCGAGTAGCACCAATCTGGAGATATCTCTCGTATTGTAAACTTTTGCTTTGTGGCAGTGGTCAAGCTTATATTGCCTTCAAGTGGCATTTCCAGCTCATTTTGGTTAAATATTGATGAATAGTTGTCTGGGATGATCCCATAAGGATTCAATACAGGAGGAGAATATGTAGGATATCCGATAGAAGCATCTTCTTGCAGAAAATCCAGGGAAGCTGAGAGAATACAAGGCTTGTCAGAGGTTTTTAAAGTATTAAAGTCTAAATATATAGATCCCTATGAGGAAAGCTTACACTTACAAGCATATTGGTGGCCCTGCTGCGCATGTGACTCGACACTTGGCAAACTTTTGGAGCCATCTAGCATCTCACTCCAAATATCAACTTCAACACCAGATAAGTGATTTTGTTGTTCAATCCTGACACCTGAAATATCATGCCTAGTTAGCAGCCTCTTTTGATTCCTGTTCTAATCCTAACACCGAAAGACTGATGAACAGTATGTACCTGGGTGTTGTTGAAAAAGAAGAATGTCCGAGTCATTTGAAAGTTGACCAGACAATTCATAATCATGCAGTACATCTAAATCATTTGAATCCCCAGCTTGATGGTTGAATGAGCCAATATCTTTCACCTCGTCGTCATTTAAACTTAACTGATGCTTAATTTTTTGCAAGGCCTGGTTTAAATCAGGAGATGATAAACTGTTCACCACTGGAGTTGGCCGAAAATTGTTGTTGATTTCACCAGAGTTAATCTCCACGGAGTCGGGACTCAATTCATTGTGATGTAATTCACCAATGACAAATGAGGATTCTGGCTGGTGTGTGTAGGAGCTAGGACTAGGACTAATAATAGCTGGAGAGAATACAGATGTTGACCTAGCATTCTGCCTTCCCTGTAATGGCATACGTTAAAATTTTATTTTAAGTTGTTTAAACAAGACAAGCAGATTTTATAAATAAACCGAAAATGGTTGCACATCAAGAATAATTATTATTCACTACTGATCATAAAGAAATATTAAAAGGCTGAAATATACCTGTTTAAAAAATACAAAAACATACAACTTACTAAAGCAAAAACAATGTTTTATGTTGATATATCTCCACACACATTGCCCGCAAGTATCAGGTTGTTAAAACATAGTACTGATCAACATATATTGACAGTTAAAACATCTTGAACATTGAATATTATTGAATGAGATTTACCTCACTAACATCTCTGTAGTGAACAAGAACAATGTGCTCAAATGCCCTGGTACAATCAAAGAGCTTCATTTAACAAAATATATAATAAGACATCATTACAGACTAGAAATAATATAATGTTTAGCCTCCTCAAATATTGAATAGAAATGGTTGTGAAACTTGAATGCAACCAAAGAAAGTCAACTTCTATCCTCCAACTCATGACAACATATGTTAGGGTGAAAACATTTCAGATTACTTGGGTGAACCAAAATAGGGAGTCAGTTGCAGCAGTTAAATACAACTTACGGATCCAGCATCCAGTAGCTGCGCCTCTGAAAGCTAGGGTTCTCCTCTCCATGCGCATAATAACAATTTAAGGCTTCAGCACTCCCGACCTAATACCAAGAAGTTTGTCAGCTATACTTTCATATCAATATCCTGCTTAAAAGCAGCCTATCTGTTTAAGCACTTAATGCAGTGAAAACATGGCATGAGAAATAAGATTCTAAGCAGCATACAGATTCTTTGTTCCCTGCTAAGATTTTTCTTTCAGCCCACACTCAAAGATCTGATACTATAAGATCCACATATAGAGAGAGTTAATGGTTTTTTTTATCAAGAAATGCCAAAATGAATACAACAATCCTCTGCATTTCTGAACTATAGAGTGAGATGGATAATGCTAATCAGGAATGTATTTGAAAGATGGAAGGTTTACAAAAAGTATGACTTGGAATAGTGTTGAGATGTTTGTGGCCAACCAGAACTTCAAAAATTAAATTATTCAGATCAAATGCTTAAACTACAAAGATTAAAAGACGAAAGTAATTTAAAAGGGATCATATCCAAAATCAATGATGTTGTAAGAACTTCAAGCATTAACAAAAAGAATAATGCTGAATTAAAATCAAGATGACAAAATCATCATACTTTCAAACGTTCATGAGCTTCAGCAATAGTTCTCTGGTCCTTCCTTCTACGCCATTTATGACCATCTTTACGAAAAAATTTTAGAACTCGCTTGTTGAACAGATACAAAGAACCACCTGTTTCCGGAATGATTTGGTCATATGCAACCAAAAACACTGTTAGATGTTTCACTGCAGATTGGAATGGTCTAAACAAATACAAGCTTTTTAAAAAATAAAAATAAAATTTACTAGTTGGTTTTTGAGGGATTTGTTGCATAAGTTGGTGCTCCTCATGATTCTTTAGTATAAAATACACTTCAATGGGTTTTAGCCACCTGGTTTGAGCTTCTCTAGCCAGATGATTGATATCAAGTCCTGTGAGAATAGAGGGAAAAAAATTTGAACAAACAGTAAACCCCAATTAGCCAGTTTATGATCAGCATCATGTAAACATAAATTGGATGCACTTGAACCATAACTTTCTCTGAGGAAACTAACTCAGTGAAGACATCCACACAGTATAAAAGTCTTTTCACGTTTGCTCTGCTGTTTATACTTCTTTAAATGTAAAAACCGTAATGATCTTGGTTCTGTTTATGCTAGGAAACATTATTATACCACACCTGCTTAAATCCTTATTATATTAATTATCAAAATGTTGAAAAAGTTCCACATTTCAAAGAAGAAAAGACTAACAGATCCTAATCAATCTCCTTGGACAATCTCACACCTCTACCAAACCGGAACATAGTCACTCCATCACACATCACTCCCGAATAATAACAAATATCAAAATCAAATACAAAATGCAACAATTTCGTTATTAAGAACTAAGAACCTTCCATTAACCTCAGTTTACATGATCAATTCAGGTCATCACCAATCCACATAAATGCATGAAATTCAAGTAGACAACAAAGAAATCCTCACGAATTCTACAAGATTAACACCTCCATCATTCTTCCTACCAAATCAAGGAGTAAAAGGGAAAAAAGAAGGAATAAATAAAGCCACGCTCACCTGATTGCATCGTACAATCAATCACCGACTCTACTATATCACTGCGACCACAGCCGAGAAATCCAAACCGGAGAAACTGCAAAGAGATCACTCCAAACTTCAACCAGCGTAATCAGAGAACGCTCTGCAACAACCGCGACCGCCGCGAGCTGGAACTCAGGCGGTGCCGTACGACCGGAGACGAAGACCTCTTCAGAGGGTGGTCAACCTTTGACCTTTGCTGCCGCGCTCATGTGAAGGCATCCAGCGATAATTATGATACTTATATACAAATGACTATTTATTTATTTATTAATTATTTAATACTTCTATTTATCTGTTCATTTAATTAATTAATTAATTAATTTTTATTTTATTGTATAATTTCTCATTTTAATTATATTTTAAAATTTATAATTTATTAATTTTTTTATTTTAATTAAATTATTAAATTTTAATTTAATTATTAAATTTTAATTTATAATTATTTTTATTAAATTATAATTATATTATTTATATATTTTTTAATTATTTATTAATTACACTGTACTTAATATTACACTAAAAATTAGTATAATTATATCAAGAGAGCATCCAACGGAGAACGGACGCCTGCCCTGCGCTCCATCACGACAAATGACCCGAATCTAATGACCAAAATACCCTTGCATTATTGAGTCACATGACAAAAATGCCCTTGCTGCGTTGCACTTTGTCTCGAATGATTGGAGGGTGCGTTTGTCCGGAGGATTTAAATTTTAAGTTGAAATTTGAATCGTAAAAATTTTAAATGTAAAATTGATTTTTAATATAATATAAAAAATAAATATTTAATTTAATATTTTTTTAAAATAATTTAGATGAATAGTGAATTTGGAGACAAATCCCCCAAACAAACACACCCTTAAATGTGACTCATTTAATTTACCGTTTATTATTATTATTATTATTACTACTACTATTATTATTGTTATTATTACACTATATTAATAAATAATAGTAATATTTTAAATATTTTATTCATAACTAGAAATATATACATAATTTATCATTTTTTATAAATATAATTATGAACTTTAATTATATTTTAAAATTTTTAATTTATATTTTTTTTAATTAAACTATTTAGTCATTTTAATTTTAATCTATAATTATTTTTATTAAATTATACTACCTCCGTCCCACATACTGCTACACTGTAGACACGATATTTTTAGGAGGAGTGTAATTAGTAGATAATTAAGAATGTATTAGTGAAAATAATTATTCTATAATATAAATAATTATAAATTAAAACTAAAATAACTAATTAGTTTAATTAAAATTTAAAAAAAATTAAAAAGTTTAAAATGAGATTAAAGTGTGTAATTATTTTCCAGAAAAAGAAAGTGACATGGTATGTGGAACGAATAGAAACGGCAACGTGGACATGGTATGTGGGACAGAGAGACTAATTATTTTTACTAATACAATGATTTACTAAGTTAAAGTTGACAAATTAGTTGGAATTGAGAGAGTAAATAATTTTTTTTAATATTTTTACCTTTATAAATATAATGGAAAATAATATTTTTGTAAAATAGAAGTATTTTAATACTTCATCCGTCCTATTGGAAGGGTGACGTTTGTTTTTTGCACGTAGATTGTTGAATATTAGTATTATATTGATTATAGTAAAAAAAAGACAAAAATATCCTTATTAATATGGTGTAATATAAAAATAACAAAATATATTGTAAGTTGAAATGGTATTTATTATGTTAAGTATATAGTACAATTACTAAATTAGAAAATGATAACTTTGTTTTGGGACGAACGAAAATGAAAATCGGTAAACTTTCAATGGGACGGAAGGAGTATTTTGATATTGATTATTTTTTTCTAATAGATACTTTGAATCATACAAATAAAAATACTCAAAAAAAAAAATATTTTGATATTTACTTTATTATATGTATCGTATTTTTTATTTTAATATATCTTTTTTTTTTCGGTCCACTTAATATATATTTTGAAATTTTATAATAAATTAAAAAATAATTGTATTTTATTGATTACTGAAAATGTGTAAAAATTTTTGATATTTTTATTTTTTGACTTTATGTATAAAATAATTGTGTGTAATATTATATTTTTAATTCAAATAAAAATTATCGTATTTTTTACATTAGTATATAATTACTTTAATTAAAATATGAAATACATATAATTGAGTGACATCAAATAAAAATGATAAAAAAAATACTTTGAGTTAGAATTACTAGAGTATATTTTTAAAAAAAATCATTTTATTTGATATTTCATATAAAAAATAATTTTGAATCAAGAGAGAATAAAAAATAATAGTAAACACATAAAAATACATCTTATATATTATAAATTTATTTAAATTAAAAATATTATATTATATTATACATAAAAATAAAATAAAATTGCTAACTATATTTTATATAATTATGTTACTTAGGGTATTATTATTATTATTATTATTATTATTATTACCAGTTAAAAAGTTTTTAAAATAAATAGGCTTTTGTTTTTTCGTTTTTAATTTATTAGTATTGTTGAATATCATGAATATAGTATGTAATCGATAATGTACTTTTTTTATTAATTTAAATTTAAGTAAACTAATTATTTAATATACTTTTTTAAAATATGATATTTAACAACATATTTATATAAAATATATAGAATTTGTTTCCTTAGTATTTTTAAATGGAACGATTTTTTCATAAATATTACTCTTTTTGTCTATTTTGAAATAAGTCATTTGGAGTTTTTATAGTAGATTAAAAAATAATAATATTTTATTAGTTAGTGTAAGAGATTTTGATATTTTTGTCATCTAACTTTTTGTTTAAAGTAATTATATGTGAAATGATATGTTTGTAATTTAAATAAAATCAAAAATATTTTAATATTAGTGCATGATTATTTTTTAAAAAAAATTGAAAATAAATACTTTGAAATATGGCAGACAAAAAATGGTAAAAAAATATATTTTGAATTAGAACGGATAGAGTGTTAAAAATTACAAATATATTACATACATTAATATAATATATAAAATACATATACATTTTATCCACACAAAAGTAAATGATTCAACACAAAATATTATCTATTAGGAAATAAACAAACTCATATGGTGGGTTTACTTTGAATGATTAGGGTGAATAATATTATTTTATTTAGCCTAATCGCATATTTACTATAATAAATTAAAATTCGATATTAATTAGGGTGAATAATATTATTTTATTTAGGCTAATCACATGTTTACTATAATGAATTAAAATCCGATATTAATTAAAGTCTGTTACACTAATGTGCTAATGTATGTATTATAATCAATCCTTAAAAGCACTTATAGTGTATAACAACTATTTTATCTGAAAAACTATCAAAATCTAAATTATAAAAGAAAATAAAAATCAAAGAATTACCAACTAAACACTTTTAATATTTTTTATTAATGAATTTATAATTTTAATTTAAAATATAATTTAAATAATATTTTGATATGATATTTTATATATAAAAAAACTATTATTCCCTCAGTCCCAAAAAAGTTGTGTTGTTTTTCTATTTTTGTCCGTTCCAAAACAATTATCTGTTTCCTTATTTAGTAACTGTAGTCCTACTTTATAACAAAAATATTCATATTTTTTTAAATATCCATAATTATTACTCTAATCTACTTTTTAAAATTCTTAAAAAAAAAAGCATTTTAGTCTTTTACATTCTACTTTATATCCACTTTCAATTAAATATTATTATTTCTTAATTCTCGTACCAACATCCAATAAAATATCTCTAATGGAATGGAGAAAATATATTTTTATTGAGAAACGGATTAAATAATATAAATTTTGATTTAAAATTATAAACAAACCCCTTGCTTAGTTTTAATTTAAATAAAGTATTCTTTTAAAAAATAATAATATATTTATTGAAATTTTATTTGAAGTATAAAAATAAACACATTCTCCATTATTAATAACTCGAATAAGAAATAACCTCGTGGGGTATGTGGGGTCCAGTCTTGTACAAACACCAAAGATGAGGCAATATTTGTAAGTGATTTGCATGTGCAGAACTGGACATTATAATTAATTTAATCATTAAAATTAAAGTGAAGAATATATTATTCATTTTAACTTTAAGCAGGAAAAAAATAATGAGTTGGCATGGAAAACATGTCAAATTTAATAATATAAAATTTAATAATAGTAGCATATTCTATTGTGTAAGTTTGGTTGCAGCACTGGATTTAGAAAAATTTGTTATTGGACTATCAAATTTTAAAAAGAAAATAAATTAAAAAAATCAATTCATTAAAAAATAATTATAAAAATAATACTTCCTTTGTCCCAGAAAAAATATCTTGTTGGGAGTTGCACGAAAATTAAAAAATATTAGTATTTAATTGAAAGTGGGTATAAAGTAGAATGTAAAAGATTATAATGCTCTTACTTTTTTAAGGATTTTAAAAAATAAATTAGAGTAATAATTAGAGGTAGTTTGAAAAAGTATGAATAATTTTATTATAAAGTGAGGACCACAGTTACTAAATAGGGAAACAAGACAATTATTTTGGGACGGACAAAAATGGAAAAATAAAACAACTCTTTTGGGACGGAGGGAGTATTATTTTTGTCTATTTATATCTTTAAAATGTAAATTAATTATTTGAGTATTGGTGATATTTTTATTTTAGGTGATATTTTTATTTTAAGAGAACTCGCCTAATTTTTTTTGAATAATGATGTAGCTTTAAATTTTAAGTAGAGTAATACTCCTTCCATCCAAAAAGAAGTATCTATTTACTTTTTGCACGTTGTTTTAGAAATATTAGTATTATATTGAGATATAGTATGAATAAAGTAGAAATAACTAAAATAACCTTGTTAGTATGTGTGATATAAAGGTAATGACATTTGTGTAATATATTGTAAGTTGTAAGGGTATTTGTAATGTTATGTAAACAGTACAGTTACTAAAAAATTAAATAGATACTTTGTTATGAGACGGACTAAAATAAAAAAATGGATACTTTGTTATGAGACGGGATAGTACAATTTTTTTAATAGTAGCATAGTTATTAAATTATATATATATATATATTTGATGAAATAAAATTATTGGTGGCACATGACACTGGGCTAATGGTGGATCTGACTCAGTTTGGTTGGACAAATAAATTAAGAATAATAATATTTTAATATTAACTTAATAAAAAATAGTCGGGTAAGTAAAA